CTTCGCAACTCGGTCATATTGGTAGGAAGACTTAGAGGAACGCACCTAGTCCGGAGTCTATTGTATGCATCATCATTTCCAGAGTAGGACCATGGACGTGGTACATTCCCAAACGTTTCGCCGGCATCGTAGTCGGCATCGTCAGTGAGTCTTGCCATTGGTAGCACCATATTACAAACTCGTCAAAGAGACAAGACATTGACTTTGACTTTGGTTTAAAAATAGCTGATCACCCACGTATGGCTTGTGATCTGGTCAACTGAAGGTTTAGCTTACCACTACCACCATTGTCTTCTTAGACCTGATCGCTCGAATATCGTCTGAGGGGGCAACTGTTGAGCTTTTGACCTCGAAATAAACGGTCAATGAATTGCGTAAAAATCCGTATCGACGGTAGAGGTCAGAATGGACTGATGGTCACGAAACGGACTTATCTCAGTTCAATATACTGTTGCGCTGTTGCTATGGTGATGTCTGCCACATGGACAGTCAACCAAAATGTCCAAGTAAAGCCAGGCGAAAGTTGGCCAAGGGGACTCCGCCGTTATCTTTTGGTGGGATCGACCCTCGAATCTATTCATCTCACAGCTTCACTTGAACTGGAAACGAGCTCAACAATTGCGTCGCTATGTCTGCCGATAAAAGATCCGTTATTTCTTGTCCAGTACTTTCCCGCTTGTTCTCCTCTTGATGGATCGAGGATCGTTCCTCCTGGTTAAGGAGTCAATTGAGTTTCAGGCATATGACCAAGCGCAAATTGTGCTGAGCTCCGGTCTCGTTGGGAGTGGAAGATGTCTGTTGAGCAGGGCCACCAACAAATCTTCGTTTCTTTCATTCTGATGGCTGAACTTTAAATTTTGTTTTTCAGACCAAACTGATGCCGTTGGCGCCGTGTATCACGATGCTCACGAACGGCATTCTGATCCTCAGTCTCTCCTGGGCCACCTGGGTTCGGTTTGCTGTCTGGTCTATTCTTGGTATGTTAGACATTTTTTGTATCAGCCTATTCTAAGGCAACAATATCGCGGGCAATTTTGCTTTAAATGCTAGGGCCTAGGTTGATAACTTTTAGCCTTCCAAAAGGACAAACCTCTAACTCTGAACATTTTTGGTCCCTATAGGCCTTACTACCAGGCTGTTGTGGGTCATCTATCAGTTATTAATTTATTATGGTTCAGCTACCTACTAGGATCTACGGAACTCATAGACATTGTCTTCTTGCTCTCATTGCTCAATTAAGGTGCTAAGCTATCGCTATTGAACTTAAGTGACTCAAGGGATGTTAAATATGACTTTCAATTAAGTGATTGCCGTTTAATCATTCAGATTGAATACCAACAGGTCTCATCTGTATTTGGGAATGACCAAAGCCCGACCAAAATATGCTAATAGCTTGAGATGGTTGAAAAATCCTATTTTTTCGGTGACAAGTTGTTTTGCAGCTATCAAAAGTAGGATCATTTTCGGTGTGCATCAGTTTCGAAGGCCGCCATTTCACTAATTGTTTCACTATTCATTGAAAAGAAAGCCTGATTTTCGCACCAAATTTACTGCGAGAGGCATTTAAATTAACTGGTTTCATTCGAGTTGAGCTGCATCTTTGACCCCAGCTGCATTCGATCCGTATATATGCCGGTCTAGAGGAAAACTTATTGTCCCCGACGTCACACGACCAAAATCCCGTTGCTATGCCTACAAGCAAGACATGCAAATCAAAATTCTCAGCGAAAAATGTCAACCGAGAGGGGCTCATTTTGTCTCAAAGTAATGATTTTTTAAAGTCGTAAGGGCTCTAAACCAGGATCTGCTTGGTTCTGATTCCGCTTGTGGTGTTAAGTTGGCTAAGGCAAGGTTGAGAGTGCAATAAAGCCTCAATAACACGAAGCTTCTAGCAGGCACAAGGAAATGAAATTCAGTGAAAAAAACAAATTTCCTATTCAACTTATTTTGAGTAGATTGGCTATCAATCCAACGGCATCATTGGAAATTGATGTACCTCGACAACAAAAATCGGGTTTCTTGCATTAAAGTACACAGTTCGTCGTATGGCGTTACATACACTGATGAAGAAGGATGTATTTGCTTTGAAATTCATAATGATTTAGCAGGAAACCTACTTGCTACCGACCCCTCGTGTTTAAGGTTCTGATCCTGTTAGAAATGCTGATTGTATAATGAAACTGGGTCAGCTTTCCCAAGAACGCCTTTTGGTATGCAAGACACAATAAACTTCAAAGCAAATACAGGCCCTATCTTTATCTCGTATTCGATAGAATTGCTATCTGTCCCCATAATGCCGTACGGCCAATGACTGCTAGCAAAAATTAAAACTTTTTCTGCAGATCTCCAATGCGAAATGGGCCCATACTGCGGGTCTTCGGTTGCTCAAAGCCTTGCCTGTATATTCATATGATCGCGTAATGAAAAAAATGAATGAGATATTATCCATCTCAAGACGCATGCCCTAATGCTCCTCCTTCAACCCTCTATACATCCTTATTCTTAGGCCTCTTTATCTATTTTGGCTACGGAATTTGGCACAGCACGGCAGATCAGGACCCTAACATAGACGAGCCTCTTCATATGTTGAAAATGCCTGCCGAGGACAAAGCACTCTTTACTTCAAACAAGTCTGATGAGAAGACGATTGATGGAGTCCCCTTCGCTGGGACTGACATCAAAACATCGACTACTTGAATTCCCCTTAGTCTAACCCCCCCATTTTCTCTGCAATCGTCTCTTCGCCTTGATTACAATGGTTCTCTCCACTTTTGTCCACCCCCTACTCCATTCTACTCTTCTTCCACTTTGCTGACTTCCCTTCCCTTGAATCGGCTTAGTTTATCCTCGTTCATTCAACCTGGTGATTATTTGGCAAACAGGGAACGAACTAATATTTGACCCAGTTACCAACATTCTAAGAGATCTGCCCTCGTTTATACGAAGATAAGCTGGGTTTCAAAGATTTCCTCAATAAATTGGCACTGGCGTACATTTCATTTCGTTTGAGAAGGTGGGTCGATTGGATTCGTACATTGGTCTCACCAGATACTGTAGGAGGGTTGCCTTGGACTTTTGTCTGTTGAACTGTGCGAAGAAAACCTCGGCTCACCGTCCTACGACCCTGATGACTCCGTGAAACACTAAACCAAGAAAGATGGCACACGACTACTGGATCATAGTCTAGTTTATTTGCACAGACAAAAGTTGTGATAACATCCGCTCCCCTTCCTGCATCACTTTGACCCGCTTACATGAATGTAGGACAAGCATAAAGCAGCCAACCAAATCCAGGAATGCCTCGTTAAGTTCATAAAGTGAGGCCAATCTACAAATTCCTTCCGACCAACCTTCTTAAACGAAATGAAAGGTTCGCCAGTATTGCCCTCGTTAATGTCTGTAGGCTCATGCTTTAATCGGATGAAAAACAGTTCCATTTATCGCCATTTTCATCCTTTAGAAAAAGTTAATCCTCGACTTATTTATTTATTTGTCCCCTTATGACTTAACTTCTTTAATAACATTATCTGCTGTTTAATTTTAAGCTTACCTTTCAGCAAGGTTATAAGCGAACAGGTAGAATTCACATACTAGCCTCCATAGCAATATTGGCTACACGCTGTCCACATCACTTTAAGCTGAGGTTACGTCCACACAAGTCCCGATTCTTTCCACAAAACTTTTCTTTTTGTCATTCCCTTGATTTCTGTCTTTTTTAACAAATAATTCCTCCTGCGTCATCTGGTGTGCTTTGGGCGGACACGACTTTCTGCCCTCAGGGCAAACTGCCTGTCTTCCCTATTTACTCCTCATCATATTTAAATCCACTTTTAATTCGAGTTTCTGTGCTCATCATATTACTTCTTTTATAGGTCTAAATCTATTCATATGCATATGCGTGTATGTGGTGGGGTGAATTTTGATGAGTCGAAAGCAAAGAAATGGCAACCTAGCCATCTCCTTGAATTCCATCAACAAATGGGTCTTATAAGCAGCCTGGGGGAAGCCGTCAGCCGGCCTTTCCAGCAATTCAATACCCTTTGTTTTAGCCAACGGAGCTATCATTACGCTTCTATAAATTTCCCTCTGAGCTCCCTAAAAGTTACAGGCCGGCATCTTTATTGAAATATACTTTTTTGCTTCCCACGTCTCTAAGCTCTCCAGTACCCTTTTATCTTTTCACTAATGTCTGTCTGAGCTCCTCTTAGTGTACGCATTAACTGGTTTGTTTATCTAGCCCAAGGTATCAAGTTGGAATGCGCTATAGGGCATTAAATGACTCTGGTCTAATCTATCGTGTCTTATGATCACTCCGTTCTTCCGGCTCCACATCTTTACCTTCAAACCTATACAGTTTACTGGTAGGCGCCATGAATCGGGACTGTATGCCTTTTGAGCCTAAAGGCTAATCACTCTTGGATTGTCCTGAGACCATGCAAATTTTACTTCTACAACATAATGCAAGACACTTCGTTAATTTGCCTGTTTCTACTTCTGTCTTTCACATGCATTTGCCAGTGTTCCTTGTATTTTTGATAAATTTATGGAATTTTGTAAACGCATCACTAATGAATTTCTGTTCTAGAAAGGCGAATCTTTTGAATGTGTTGTTCTGGCCCAGGTCTATCGTTCCAATCACTACTTACGTCGTATTATAAAAGAATTCAAATTGTTGGCGTTTTAAGTGCGGCCTCTAGTTTGGCTCACGTGGTACTATGTGGTATGTGGTACGTGCAGCCTGCCATTTCACTCTCCTTGGGATTTTGTGCACGTCTGTCTGCAAGCCTAGTCTTGGTAGTTCAATTGCCCTACTTCCAATTAGTGTGATTGTTGTCCAGGGATAGATTTCCCGCTTGCACCTCATGTAGAAATGTTCGAATATCATGTGGTCACCATTCGCAGTTTTTTGGAGGCTGACACAGTTGTCCTATAATAGTCACTTGCTATTGGTGTCAAGCCAAGATTTTCAATTTTTTAAAGCCGAAAAATCCAAAGTTTCAGAAAGATACGGATACCATGAGATTTTTTAAGGTAGGACAAGATATCAAAGGTTTTCTGGCAAATATGCGTTCATGTAGTTATGTCCAAATGCGCCATAGCTTTATAACTAAGGGCTAGACTCAAAGACTGCTTGCAACACTGCAAAGAAGCAAATTGAAAATTAGTGCAATTCAGTGAGACCCCGAATGCATAAGGTCTGTACATGATGCATGATGCGCTCGGATCCAATTAACGCAAGGCTGTTCTCATATTAAGTATGGGAAGCCTTTGGTGAGGTAAGGCTAAGTTAACTTTAATGTTCTCGTAATGTCTACCCATTTCTCTGTAATAAAATTCATTTACCAGTCTTGCAACATTATATGCGATCGAAGGAGACTAAATTTTCATTCAATTAGTTTTTGAGACGAGTCATGAGCACCGTATAACATTAAATGGGTTCGTACTACATATTCATCGCATTTTGGTAAAACTCAACTAGCAGTCCTTAAATCACATTAAGCGATCCAGGGCGACTAACTTATAACGCAAATCTCTCTGGATTGGCCGATTTGACTAGGGAACTTTTATGGTTTGGATGATTACGTGATAGAACTGAAAGACTTGTTTGTAAATTGCGTGACAAGAACGCATTGCTAAGCCCCATGCCTGTCCATATAACTTACAAATTAACTTTAAATAAGTAATATTCATGGTTAAATTAATTTATTCAATGATCGAATCCTTATATATATCTTTCTATATTCTAATCTCTGGTTTTTGCTCTAAGGTTAACTCTAAAGCCTTCTTTACCCCATTTATCGAAATTTTAGTGTACATAGACATTACACTGAGCCTTATCAACAAGGTTCCTCTTCTATATCTAAACTGGATAAACAAATAACCTTATTTTGGCTACATTATATAGTATTGAGTTGATTTTACTGCCTAAATTCCCAAATTCCTAAATTTCGTATCCTGGGAATCTGTATATCCTGTCCATCTTTTCCGCTGGCTTGTCTGCCATATTCGGTAATTAAAGAAAATTGGGGCTAGAGGAGCACATGGTGGAGGTGTCACTTGGAAATGAGGTTGAATGACCTGAATTTTGTCGTTTTGCTGTTATGGTATGCTTGTAACTAATCGCAGAATTATTGAATTCATTGAAATCAATCGAATAGGCAGCATATTAAATGTCACGAATTCTGGCAGGAAATTAAGTAAGAACTTCTTATGCCTAATTGATAGGCTTAAGGATGGAGAGGGTATTGATTCGCTTGAAAGTAGACGGCCCAACTAGTCTTTGCTTGTCATGGTTCTACTTATGCTAACTTTTCTATACTTAATAATTCTTCCTGTCTCACCCAAAGGCAAACACCTCATCTAATTAACTAGGCATGTGTCTTACATTACTTAATCAGAATGTTGATTAAAATAAAAATAAAGGGGGTGATGTTGGTCATTAAGTCTTTCTGACCGAAAACAGACGTGTTATGTTCTAATTACTTTAGACTATCACCGCTGGTTTCGTTCATATACGAACACATATACGAACACACATAAACATACATATGCTTTGAGTGTGTTATCTAGTCAAATCACTTCCTACATCATCAAAAAGCATAGATATAGGGTATGTATAACTCATCAAGAGATAAGTCGGGGAGTTTTGTTCACTCGTTAACTTGAATATAGTTAAAAGAATTTGACCCTGCTCTAACTATATCCGTCATATGACGAATAAAATATTGGTACGCTTTTACCTGAATCGAAGGAAATTACCTTGAAAACAGCATCCACAAGAAGGTTCTAGTAAAGCTAATCGGCAACTCGTCAAGAGGAATCCCATATATATATATATATCTGAGATGTATTCACCCTATTTCGTTTAATGTGATAAAGGTCTGATGTTTGCATTTTCCCACTGATATAAGAAAATTGAACTGCTGATCAACTTATCACCCTAAACGAAATAGAGTGAATACACCTCATATGTATGATCTACTGGTAGTCCCTCTCCGGTTTAAGGACCGATAGTTGTGGGAAAAACACTCCATAATAAGTCGTTCAAGCACATTGAGCAACCTATTCATTATTCAAGATTTAGTGATA